TACATTTTTATAGTCCAGAGGTTATGGAGGCTTCAGTTGAACTAGCTATAGAACTGATGAAGAGTCAGCAGAGATAAGGAAACATCACAATCCTCTGCAAACAGTGGCCCAGTTCCACCTGTATTTTCCCTTCATAGACCCATTTAACTCATAACATCAGTAATATCTTTCTAGAGACTAAAAAATGTTCCAAAATTTGTTCTCTTTTGAAGAGATTGTCTTATTTTAACTTATGAGTTCTTTGTAGGACTTTTGTTTAAATTATAAATGTGTCATACCTGATAATAATATGAGGATAATAATCATAGCCAGTATTTTTTAATACTTAATGTCAGCCACAAGCCTAAATATTTTACATACATATATATGTGTGTATATATATATATATATATATATATATATATATATATATATGTATATATAGCTACATATAAAGGTACAAATTTAATCTTCACAACTAAAGTAAAGTCAGGTACTATTATCCCCTCTCCCCTTTTGCAAAGAAGAAAACTTAGGCATACAGACTTGTAAGGGTTGGGACAGATAAACACATCTAATTTTCAAATATATTAAGAATAATACTGATTATTCATTCCTGTTTCCAAACAGATTACTATTTTAAACACAGGACTATTACCTATCTAATGATATTTAGTTGCTATTAATGGATGAATTTTGTATATAACAGACTTGATTGTGATTAATCAGACACATATTTGATCCATTTGTAGCTAATAGGCTTGATTATATGCTTTTTAAAGATCTTTATATTTTTCTTCATGATGCTCAAACCTCACTTTCTTATAAATACACAACTAGTTTTCAAATTTAAAAGTATAAATGGGAGAAATTGAGTTTATTTGCTTATTGTTCTCCCTTTTGGCTAGTAAAGAAAAAGATGTCATCAGATTCCTGGATTGTTGTTCCCAGAGTTCCAGAAATGGGAGGCCTGGCGAAGGAGTTCCAGACTGAGAGCTTCCAGCTGCGACGGCCACTAGGCCCCACCAAGCCAACACTTGGAGGGAAGTAAAATATTTGGCAAACAGCACCCATGGCCATCACAGCTGGAAGCTGGTTCTGGCCAACCAGTTGCAAGAAAAAGAAATGTGCTTCACTTCTGGACCAGACATTATCAGTACAAGATCCTCAAGTTTTTTTAAAAAAAACAACAAAAACTTACGGCATAGTGATATGATATGGCTGTGTCCCCACCAAATCTCAACTTTAATTGTATCTCCCTGAATTTCCACATGTTGTGGGAGGGACCCAGGGGGAGGTAACTGAATCATGAGGGCCGGTCTTTCCCATGCTTTTCTTGTGATAGTGAATTAAGTCTCATGAAATCTGATGGGCTTATCAGGGGTTTCCACTTTTGCCTCTTCCTCATTGTTCTACTGCCACCTCCACGTTAAGATGTGCCTTTCACCAACTGGGCATGGTGGCTCATGCCTGTAATCCTGGTACTTTGGATGGCCAAGGCAGGTGGATCACAAGGTCAAGAGATTGAGACCACCTTAGCCAATATGGTGAATTACCATCTCTACTAAAAATACAAAAATTACCCGGGCATGGTGGCACATGCCTATAGTCCAAGCTACTCAAGAGGCTGAGGCAGGAGAATCACTTGAACCGGGGAGGCGGAGGTTGCAGTGAACCCACATAGTGCCACCATACTCCAGCATGACAACAGAGTGAGACTATGTCTCAAAAAAAAAGTGCCTTTCACCTTCAACCATGATTCTGAGGCCTCTCCCACCATGTAGAACTATAAGTCCAATTAAACCTCTTTTTGTTCCCAGTTTCTGGTATGTCTTTATCAGCAGGTGTGAAAACCAATTAATACAGTAAATTAGTACCAGTAGAGTGGGGCATTGCTGAAAAGATACATGAAAATGTGGAAGCAACTTTGGAACTGGGTAACAGGCAGAGATTAGAACAGTCTGAAGGGCTCAGAAGAAGACTGGAAAATGTGGGGAACCAGAATTTTATAGAGATTTGTTGAATAGCTTTTCCCAAAATGCCAATAGTGGTATGGACAATAAAATCCAGACTGAGGTGATCTCAGATGGAGATGAGGAACTTGTTGGGAACTGGAGCAAAGATAACTCTTGTTATGTTTTAGCAAAGAGACGGGTGGCATTTTGCCCTGCCCTAGAGATTTGTGGAACTTTGGACTTGAGGGAGATGATTTAGGGTATCTGTCAGAAGAAATTGCTAAGCAGCAAAGCATTTAAGAGGTGACTTGGGCACTGTTAAAGGCAATCAGTTTTGAAAGGGAAACAGAGTTCAGAAAATCTGCAACCTGACTATGCGATAGAAAAGAAAAGCCCATTTTCTGGGGAGAAATTCAAGCCAGCTGCAGAAATTTGCATAAGTAGCATGGAACCTAATGTTAATCTTCAAGATGATGGGGAAAATGTCTCCAAACCAGGTCAGAGATCTTCATAGCAGCCCCTCCCATCACAGGCTTGGAGGCCCAGAAGGAAAAAGTGGTCTCATGGACCAGACCCAGGGTCTGTGTGCTGTGTGCAGCCTAGGGACTTAGTGCCCTGTGTCCCAGCTGCTCCAGCTGTGGGTGAAAGGAGCCAAAGTACAGCTCTGACTGTGGCTTTAGAGGGTAGAAGCCCCAAGCCTTGGCAGCTTCCACATGGTGTTGACACTGTCGGTGCTCAGAAGTCAAGACCTGAGGTTTGGTAACCTCCACCTAGATTTCAGAAGATGTATGAAAATTCCTGGATGCCCGGCAAAAGTTTGCTGCAGTGGTGGGGCCTTCATGGAGAACCTCTGCTAGGGCAGTGCAGAAGGGAAATGTGGGGTTGGAGCCCCCACAAACAGTCTCTAGGCACTGCCTAGCAGAGCTGTAAGAAGAGAACTACCATCTTCCAGACCCCAGAATGATAGATCCACCAACAGCTTGCATTGTTCACCTGGAAAAGCCACAGACACTCAACACAAGCCTGTGAAAGCAGCTGGGAAGGAAGGAAGGCTGTGTCCTGTAAAACTACAAGGGTAGAGCTGCACAAAACCATGGGAACCCACCTCTTGCATCAGTGTAACCTGGATATGAAACCTGGAACAAAGGAGATCATTTTGGAGACTTACAGTTTGACGGCCCCACTGATTTCAGACTTGCATGGGCCCTGTAACCCCTTTGTTTTGGCCAATTTCTCCCTTTTGGAATGGCTCTATTTATGCAATACCTTCACCTGCCCCCCTCCGACCCCCCCACCGCCACCACTGTATCTAGAAGGTAACTAGCTTGCTTTTGATTTTACAGGCTCATAGGCAGAAGGGACTTGCCTTGTCTCAGATGAAACTGGGCTGTGAACTTACGGATTAATGCTAAAACGAGTTAGTACTTTGGAGGACTATTCGGAAGGCATGGTTAGTTATTAAATGTGAGGACACAAGATTTGGAGGGGCCAGGGGCAAACTGATATGGCTTGCCTATGTCCCCACCAAATCTCAACTTGAATTGTATCTCCCAGAATTCCCATATATTGTGGGAGGGACCCGGGGGAGGTAATTGAATCATAGGAGCCAGTCTTTCCCATGCTACTCTCATGATAGTGAAATAAGTCTCACGAGATCTGATGTGCTTATCAGGGGTTTCCACTTTTGCTTCTTCTTCATTTTCCTCTTGCTCCCACCATGTAAGAAGTGCCTTTTACCTTCCATTATGATTCTGAGGCCTCCTCAGCCATGTGGAACTGTAAGTCTAATTAAACCTCTATTTGTTCCCAGTTTCAGATCTTTAATAGCAGCATGAAAACAGATTAATACACATAGTGACCAAAAAGTGGCAGTTCCATCAGTTGGAGTTCACTTCAGTGACTTCAGTGAGCAGATCCCTTGCAGATCATTGATGAATATGTATCATGAGTAAGAATAATTCTGTGTATTTTAAGCCAATGAAATTTTGAGGTTGTTTGTTATCACAGCACAATAGGGTTTATCCTGACTGATTCAACCTCTTTCAGTTTACATTTGGGCTTATATGATAGCCTCATTGTCAAACCTAGAAAGAAGCAAAGATTCAAATGGCCACAGAGTAGTGTTCTTCTGGAAAATGTTTCTAACAATTCCATTTGTCCTTTGTTAGGTCCATGTTTTTCCCTAGTGTCTATCTTCACACTTTGGATATCAGTGAAGGTGTTCATTGGAGAGACTGAGAAGAAATGAATGTAAGAAAAATAAATAAATAAATAAATAAATGGAAACTTGTTAGTACCCTCTAAAATGAACTTACTTTGAAAATTACATAAGAATAGACGATGAAGCAAGTGAGAGGCAATCTATTCTCAATACTATATCACTAGTTTTGTTTTGGTTTTTGTTTTTGTTTTGAGACAGGGTCTCACTCTAACACCCAGCCTGGAGTGCAGTGGCACTATCTCAGCTCACTGTAACTTCCACCTCCCAGGCTCAAGCAATCCTCTACCTCTGCCTCCCAAGTGGCTGAGACTACAGGTACCCACCACAACACCCAGCTGATTTTTTTGTGTTTTTTGTAGAGATAGGGTTTACACCATGTTGTCCAGGGTGGTCTCAAACTCCTGAGTTCAAGCAATCTGCCCACACTGGCCTTCCAAAGTGCTAGGATTACAGGTGTGAACCACCACATTTGGCCAAAACTACATCACTTTCTACAACTATATTTTTATGTCTTCCCTAGCGTGGTCAGTAGAAATATCCTTTTGACTAGATGCTGCAATGTGGCATCTACCTTTTTTCACTGGCTCAGAATATTTAATTACTTTTTATTAAAAATATAAGCTTTGGAAGATCACAATCATAGCTGTTATGTTCACTGTGTAATAGATATACAGAACATGTACTTGTCTGTCTAATCCATAGCACCTGAGTCTGTAAGGCAAGAGAATGTGAAGGCTCTTTTGAAAGACAGAAGAAAATTCTAGCGTACATGAAGAATACATGGCTCTACTCAACAACTTATAAGTTAACTTCTGGAAAGAAATTAAAAGACAATCTCTGTGAAATTAATATTTTAAATATAATATTTATTTTTATCAAATTAATTCACATATACTCAGAGGCAAATATTACTATCATAACAAAGACAGCAGTTACCTATTTGGGGTCTGGTAGAGGTAAACTCAAAATAATATGTAATGATATGACAAGAGTAAGAAAAATGACTAAATCTAGATTAACCTCTAGTTTTGAGGACTAAGCCACTAGGTGGATGGCAAGTTCATTAATTAAGATGGGGAAAGACTGGTAAGAACAGGATTTCCAGCACAGAGGAAAAACAAAGAATCAAGAATTCTAAATCAGACATAGAGATTTAGACATAAAAAGTGAAGATATTGAGTATATGGTTTTATAGACAATCTGTAGTTCAGGACATGGGTCATGGGCAAGGTTACTGGTTTGGAGGTCACCTAGATGTAGATTACATTTAAAGATATTGAAATGATGGCAACTTAAGAGAAGAGAGCACACAAAAACTGAAGCTGACCATCATTCAACATGTAGCATTCAGGCCAACGAAGAGAGCCAGAAGAGAAGACTGAGAAACTGTGGCCAGGAAGATTGGCAAAAAGCCAGGAGAGGTGGTGACTCTGGAGTAAGCAGGGGTTCAAGAAGGAGTGAACAGTCAACTGTGTCCACACAGCTCACTGCTCACTATATAAATCTGGCCACCCTTTATTTCCCTGCCTCTATTCTATGTGGTAATTTTCACAGTTCCCCTCCAATTTCTCACCTCTGTGCTTTTGCTCCTATTATTCTTCTGCATTGGAATACCTCCTCACCTGTCAAAATTCTATCTATCCTTCAAGACCCATCAAGATACCATCAACTTTGTAATACATTTCCTAACTCCAGTAATAAAATATGCTTTCTTCCTCTATACTATTCGATATCAAATTTATTGCATGTCAGATTTTATTCTGTTTTGTACTATAATTGTTTGCATTCTTTATTCATCCTTCCTGTATCCCAGATGGACTATAATATAGGTCCCCCAACCCCTCATAATGTATCAGAGTGTGTGGTATGTAGTAGGTCCTCAATAAACATTTTCACTGAATCAAATACAAAAATATAGAACATAAGCCAGGAAAAGTATTTTCAAAGGACAACCTCTTTTGTCACTTTGGATATCTGTCTGCCAGCACATGGATCATCTGCCCCAGGCCCAAGAATTACTGACACATATTCCTGGTCCTCTATAGAAAAGTAGGGAAAGAGATTAATCACAGAAAATAAAGGTTTTTAAAAGTTATCTTTCTAAAAAGACCGTGGAAAAAAATATCTACAGGAGAATGCTGGCAAAACTACTTATCCTGCCTTGGCTGAATATGTCCTGAGCTAATGGCTACTTTAAAAACCACTTAAACTAATCTTTTCCCCAGATCTTCATTAAGAAAATAGCAAGTTGCAAAAGCCCAAAGGATAAAACAACTTTTGTGATCCCTGAACCTAAAACTAAGCTACAAAGACTGTCCTAATCCAAGCCTTGGGTTAGAAGTCAGACAGCAGAATATTAAAAAATTGCCAAGAGAGTAGATCATAAATGTTCTCACCACAAAACTATGATATGCGTATGAGGTGACAGATACCTTAGTTTAATTTAACCATTTCACAATGTATACGTATATCAAAACATTCCCCTTTACACAATAAATATTTTTATTTAACTATACCTTAATAAAAAAAAATAAATTTTAGAAACATAAAGTGGCAGAGGCATCTGATAAATAATAAATGTGAGTTTAATCATTTTTAAAAGTCAGGCAGGCCACACAAGGTGGCTCACGCCTGTAATCTCAGCACTTTGGGAGGCTGAGGCAGGCAGATCACTTGAGGTGAGGAGTTCAAGACCAGCCTGACCAACATGGTGAAACCCTTTCTCTACTAAAAATACAAAAATTAGCCAGACATGATGGCAGGTACCGGTAATCCCAGCTCCTTGGAAGATTGAGGCAGGAGAATCGCTTGAACGTGAGAGGCAGAGGTTGCAGTGAGCTGAGACAGAGTGAGCCTCTGCTTCAAGAAAAAAACAGCAATAACAACAAATAAAATTAAATTTAAATTTAAATTAAATTTCAGGAAGTAGAGCAGAAAGAACACAGGTTTTCACATAGGAAAGATGTTGATTTGATTTTCAGTCCTATCATTTGATATTTTTATAATTCTATGTGATACATACTTGCATTCTTTTACACTGGAAAGAAAGACAGTGATAGAAAATCTGGAAGGTAGCTCTGGATACAAGTTGGAGGAAAAGGGAAGAAGGAGAGAGAAAAACAAGTTATCAACGGTACACATAGTCAGGGCCAAAACTTTATGAATCACATAGAATTTCCATGAATCTCATAGACCTAATGATCAATGAGAATTATTTGCCAAGCTGCTAGGTGAAACATGCTGAAAAACAGCTGGGGCCTATGGCAAACATATTCAACTTTATGATTTTCTTCAGCCCCTCTTCTGTCTTGTACTATGTTGCCCCCAACTGTCTTCTAAAACTATTCACTCTTTCATGGTCAATAGAAACTTAGAAACCTAGATTCTCAAACTTTCGCTAAAAAGTCCAGGTCTTTTTAGACACTTGTAGATAGATAAATAACTTAGTGATAAAGAATACATAGTCTGTTTAGGTCCATACTCTAGATCTATCCTATATTAACTGTGTGATAGTCCAAACTGGTTGTTTTGTGCTAAGATTCCTACTGCTTGTACTTTGAGACTCACATACTCAGAGCTAGAAAACTTTTGAGAGTATACGGTGATAATTACTGCAAATTCATGGAAGAGTACATAAGTATAAATAATCAACCTAACTTCCCTCTTCCTCTAACATTTTCTCACAAAACTAAAAAGTTTGGAAACCCCTTTTCTTAATGGTGGTGCCAGTTCAACCACACTCTAGAAGGTATTAGTTTCATTAACTACAATGTGAAATCATCAGAATAAAGAGGCAGCATGAGAAAAAATGACAGCATCGGGCTTTGCGGTATATAGATTTAATTGCTCATACAAGAACCTGGGAGGGGGAACCCCTCAAAAGATTAGTCACTTCATTTTGTGTTGCAGAACTCAATTCAGGTTAACAAAGTGTTGCCAACAAAGGAGATGAGAGAATGGCAGCATTCACTTGCTCTGCACTGAATAAACAAATGTGGGATTTGTGGGCTGACTAATGTCCTGGGATAAACCAGGCAGTCAGCCAAATTCTAGGAGTTTTGATGAAAAGACAGCAAGCCCACACTTTTCTTCATGGCGAGTGCTCTGTGGGAGTATTGATGTCCACATGGGCAGCCTGGATCTTCAACTTGCCTTAAAGATTTGCCCTTATTCAGCCACAGGGAATTCTCAATGCTTCCGTAACTGAAAACCTAGATTGAATGACAGAAGCTAAATTCCTACTTCTTGACAAGTGTTAAATATATTTGTCATGCATCTCCATGTAGAAACATGTTATCATTGACCCTTTCTAAACACTACAATACTCTGAAAATACACAGTTAAGTCACTAAAATGTAATTCTAACTTTCCATTCATTCATTTATTTCTTTCACTGAGTGCCTACTATGCTCTAGGGACCATGCAGAGCTCTGTATATAAAACACTTGGTGAATTTGACATTGAAGCCCCCTATCCAGCCTGAAAATTTCAAGGGCACTGAAAAAAGTAATAAAATGCTTGTAATTGTATTTCTTGGTTAGGGGAAACTATTAAAATTTGCAATATTTTGGTGAGAGAGGCAGTAAGTTTTTCAATTAAGGTCTTAATGTAAGTTCGTGAAGAAGTCAGAAATGAGAATGAGGAATTTCCTTTTATCTGGTCACCAGGATCCTCCACCATGCTGTGAGGACCACAGTCTTCACTTAACCTCAGGCTAAAGTAGATTTTATTGCAAACTGTGCAGCTAGTGAAATGTCAAGGGCTGTTTCACAGGATCTTAACTAACACAAGAAAAACTTCCCAGCAGCAGCTGATGCCAACTCCTTTAAATGTACATGTCTAAGTTATCTATCCAGATAACAGATATACATGGTATAAGCAGGCTGAAGCAAAATCTCTGGAATGTTCAATGTGAGTATAATATACCTAGAAGCAAAAACTTCACTGATACAAAGGATGCATTTTATAAGTCTCCACAAAAATCTCCAACTTCTTGTGAAATTTAGGGCCTTCTTAAGTAATTTTTATCACAGAAAGCTTTCATACTTCCTTATATGAAGACCTACTCTCCATGATTTATCAGCCCTCCAGAGTCCCAGTGAGATGCTGCCAAGTTGCAAATTTAGAGAATTATCTTAAGAAATATTGTATATAACTGCCTTTGGAAAAAAATTCAGGTCAATTAGCAAAGATTTTAAGCAAGTCCTTTTACAAAAACCTGCAAACTTTCAACGAGTCTGGGGTTTATGAAATCATCAAATCAATTAACATATTTATGTTAATCTTATAAGCATAACTCTTTAGGAATAAAGGTATTACAAAAACAAGGTTTGGAAAAGGAGACTAACTCTTGCTTAATTACTGTGAAGAGCAGAGAACTGAAAGAAAAAGCTACGCACAAGTTGGAAAAGTGCTACTTGGGTTTAAAAAAGAGAAAAAGAAAACCTGAGATTGGGATTGGACGATAAGCAGGTAGCAGAAGCAACAAAAAGTCTCTTTCATTTTCAGTTCAGGGGGCCCCTTAAAGGAGCAAGATGAAATGTACAGCCCACAAACCACAGGCAGGCCTGCACAGGAAGTGGAGTGGAAATTACAGTTGAATGGACTCTCAAACAGGATGAAGCCAGTCCTTGGGAGGTTTCAAAAAAACCAAGTAGACAATATGAACATCCAAGTGTTTCCTTGTGTCATTAACTCAACATTCTGATTGCAAACACCATGGAACCACAGTGAAAAAGCTGCAAAAATGGTGGCCGTTTTACAAAATTTCTTTCTGCTGTTTGCTTGTCAGAGCCGATCAGACTCTTCCTTGAGCACTTTGCAGGGCACACACTGGATCCCACTGAGGTGGATATTTGAAGGGTGATATCAAATTTCCCAGCAAAATTAGATAAGCAGATTGACTTGACAAGAAGCATGAGGTAGCATAAAGATCTTCCCTAGACAGTGCCAGATAATTAGGTGCCAAAAGCCTGAGGTGGTTATTAGAAAATGATTACCACCTCCAATTGTCTTACTTTTCACCGCCAGAAAACTGCTACAGCAGAAGCTAGCCAAAGCAATCACCGCTCCCCTAGGAAGCATTCACTGGGAGCTCTTGCTAACATCCCTATGGTTTGAAAGTAGCTAGACAGGGCAGTGACAGCAATTCCTGCTGTCAATTAAGGAGAAATTGCCCAAAAGGATTTTAACTTTTAACTGGATTTCAGCCATGCTGCTCCCAAATACTCCTTTCTTTGGTTACCTTTCAGCTGAGGCTTCTTTGGCAGCCAAAGAAGTATTTCACTTCCACAGTCATCACAGCAGTAGAGAGGAAGAAAAACTGAAAAGAGGTCAGGACTCCCTGACTCTTTACCTAACACTTGCAAGGCCTCTGGCCAAGTCAGGCTGCTTTTCTGTGTTCCCTTTTCCTTTAATTATAAAATAGGATAATATAAAACCTACCTCAAAGGATTATAGAAAATGTCATAAGAAAGAACAGATGAGCTAAGTGCTATAGAAGGTATATACACATTAATGTACTTAAGTCTATGTGTATGCATGTATGTGTACAGTACATACATTCAACTTTTTAATGTTTTCCAATTGCATAAAGGAGAAATACAGACTTGGTAATTAACTGGTTAAGTTATATGGACAGTCTGGATATTTTAGAATAAAAATTCATCCCTTGGTTTGAGGACAAAAAAGCAATGTCTAAATTGTTCAGACAATTTTTTTCTTCTGCAAGTCCTAGCCATGGAGTCTACACAAGACTGAATTTTAGGATTGCTAAGAAGCCAGAAAAAAATATTTTAAGGAAAAATAATAATGGCTACTAATTATTAAATGTTTACTATATGCTGGCTAATCTATGAAACACTTTTACAGACATTATTTTGCCTCCTCTTAGTTACAAGCTTGTAAAGTATCTATTATTTAACAATACTATACACGATGCCTTAAGTGTATAAACAAATTTATTGTTGGAATTGAGATTCAGACTCAGGTCTGTCTTACTTCAGGGTCCTTGATCTTACTCAGAGCCATCATAGCTCTCTGAAGAATGTTATTTTTCTCTTCTGCCCCTACTGTAGGATTTAGCATTTTCCTTTGCTGTTAAAAGTTGGCCCATGTGCCCTGGCTGGTATGTGGACCAATCCCTGTGTGGCCCCTTGTGTAAGAGCAGATGTACTGGAGGGTGACACAGAGGCAGCAGTGTGCAGAAAGGGTTCTAAGAGCAGAGGACAAAAGAAGCTTCATGAAGAAAGCACCTTTGGGACTTACACTCAGCTTTAAAGGGCTACATTTCTTTGAAAAATGTCACAGAGGCTTGTGGTTAGACAGAGCAGGAAAGAACTTTTCCTGTACTCTCCAGCCATTCCATTTAGACTAAAACTCTTCTTCAGATATCGGGCATGAGCTGTTTGGCAACTTTTATTCAATTAGAATTCATATCTAAAAAGTTGTTTCACATATCCCCCATCTGTTACCTCTGATGGTTTTTTCCTTTGGAGTTAGATACATTCCAAATAGGTCTCCCCAGTTCTGTTCTAGAAAGTAGTTCTGACTTGGGAAAGGATTCCAGCATACCTAACAATAATGCTTGAATCCTAGAAGAACCACATGGTGTACTAGCCTAGTCATTAGATATTATTTAGAAACACCATTGGAAAATATTTAAATAGTAAAATTTTAGAATTAAGATTGATACTAATAGGTAAAAAGTGAATGTTTTTTGAGCTCTTACAGAATGGCAAGCATAGTACTACACCACTTACATGGATTATTTAATTCATCTCATACTATCCCTATGAGACAAGAACTGTTATGATTTCCATTTTCAAATTAGAAGACTAAGTGTGCCATTAAATATTTCTTATTGTCAAAACAGTCACCAACATGACAGAAGAGTAGACCTCAGGCAAGAGTAACACAAAATTTTCACAGAGCCATCCCTCCCTAACCTCCCTACTTCTCCTGTGTTCTCCCAAATGTCTTATTCCATCATCCAAGGTGGTTACAAATTTCATTCATTTGTCCTACATTTCCCCTGACATGGATTGGAAACTGGTTATCTCCCATAAAACTAGAAAAAAAAAGTAAGACCTTAAAAGAATAAAGATATTTAACTCTAAAAGACCTGAGAATAAACTATGACTCCAAGAAAAGTATACATGTAAATGTATGAAACTGATTGCAAAACGAAAAAATCCAATAGAAATCTCTTAACTGCCAGACTAGCCCCATGAACAGCCTCTTCCATGCAATTCAGTGGAAATTATTCCATGGGAGTTATGTGAAAGAGAAGAAAAAGTTTTGCTGAGAAATGCAGGATCGGGAGAGTTAGGCCAGTATGATGAGGAGCTTTGTCTGGTGTGAGCTCTTTAGCCAGATCTCTCCCTTTCGGAGCCTTCCGCAGCTGAGATATTTCATACCAGAATCTGCCTTCAAGCCACACAATTCTGCTGAGTGCAAGGCAATGGGATTAGGACAGAAAGACATTTACAGGATGACAGTGTTGAAAAGTTGTTGAAATCCAGCTCTAAAATATACCAAATTATTTATGTCATCTTTTGGGTTTCCAACTCAATGTTTTCTCATCCAGGCTGGGTGCAGTGGCTCACGCCTGTCATCCCAGCACTTTGAGAGGCTGAGGTGGGTGGATCCCTTGATTCTAGGAGTTTGAGATCAGCCTGGGCAACATGCTGAAAACCCACCTCTACAAAAAAATACAAAAATTAGCTGGGCATGGGGGTGCACACCGAGTAGTCCCAGCTACTCAGAAGGTTGAAGCAGAAGGACAACTATATCCCAAGAGGTTGAGGCTGCAGTGAGCCATGATTGTACCACTGCATTACAGCCCGGGCAACAGAATGAGTCCTTGTCTAAAAAAAAAAAAAGGAATGTTTTCTCATCCACAGCGTCTAACCACAGCAAAGCTGGATTGCAAAACCTCCTTAGAGGGAAAATATTTAGAAAATAGTCATTTAGTTCTATGTTCTTTGTATCTAATTAGCTAAGTTTCATTATGTATATGTATAACATCTTCATAAAATGATGGAAGGAATTGTGTACAGTATAAATGAGCTATAAGAATCACAGTAAATAATAAATATATTTCAGTATTTGTAATATACTATAACATTATAGATTACTTACTTCATAATTTTTGCTTGACTAATCCATCACAAGTGCTAAGTTCTTCAACCCATTAGTTCTTGGAAGCATGGAGTTATCAACAGTAGTAAAAGGATAAAGGGTAGCCTCTTCAATACTCATGTTGAAATTAAATCACAGAAATAGTTGCTTCTTTCTCACCAAATCACCAGCATCCCTCTGAAACTTCTGAGGATGAAATACTTATATCAGCATATAAATGGATGCAAATAATGAGTGTCTCCTTTATACATTTTGCTACAACAATATACATATACATAGTTATAGGGCTTGGGGAAAACTATTGGGCACAGACAAAATAAAGAGTTAAAAAGGAAGAGAAAGGGGATGAGAAGAGCAGAGCAGTGCTTGAGCAAAGAAGAGAGATGAAAGACTATTTCATGTCTATTATTGTCATGAGTTACATTTTAGGCAATTTAGATCACCCTCATTTTTCAGAAAAATAAACCAGGGCTCAAATAAATGAACTAGGCTACATTACTAAAAAGTGTTAATCACAGGATTTGATCCTAGGTCTCTGTGATTTAAAGAATCTCTATTCTCTTTCACTGTATCTCATTACCTCTCTTTCCAAGAGAATGTTCCTTTGATGTGTGTTTTTCAATTCTTTAAACACAGATAACATATATCTGATGGCCAGCAAACAGAAGTCTTTTCTTTGATCTCTGCTGTTGAATCAGAATGAGGCTTTTTCTTCTCATCAAAAGGAAGGCTGGATGTAGGAGAAAAAAAGAGACAAATGTTAAGGAATCCTTTGATTGGGCTATGACCTAAACATAGCGGATATTTCCTAATCCCTCTTCCTAAACGCTTTTATCACCTCGAATAGTGTAAGGAGCACAGAAATACATTGAATAGAATATACCTATACTCAGTAAATAGAATACAATAATAGTTCCACCTCTCAGTTCTAGTACAGATGCCAGTACCTGATTTAAACCTATTCCCTAGATCATCCTGCCTTTTTTCTCTTGAAACAACTATCTATACACAATCTAGTCTCTATGACAGCCTTAGCAGTTCCTTGACAGGGCATGCAGGTAGTCCAATGGTTAAGTACATAAGCTCAAATTCCATCTTCACCATTGATATGGTCTTTGACAGGAAAATTATTTAACTTCTCAAACTGTCTGTGGTTTCTCAATATCTAAAATGGTGATTTATTATGACTTATTTCATGAAGTTGCTATTAAAATCAAACAAAATGATATGCATAAAGTTCCTAGCACAGTACCTATGACATAATGGGAGTTGCTGCATTTTTCTTGAATTAGTGCTAGATATAGCCCCATAATTTACAAAGTAGACAAATTACAGTACTTTGAGGTAGCTAGGGAATCATTTGGATGGTTTCCATTTGCTACAAAGAAATTCATTTGGAGGAAAAGAAGCTGAAGGATTTCTCAAGAGACCTGGACTCTTCGGCTTGTCCCAAATTTTCTTCTTATAGTCTACGTCCAGTGCAAACAAAGTTGCTGCCCATTTAATGTTTAAGATTTAATATAGCAAGTGAATTCATTTTAGGTCCAATTTGTATAGTATAGTATATTATTATATGTACATATAAAATATTGTTTAATAAATTTGCCTTCTGATTTATGAGCATTTTGAAGAGGTTGGACCACAATCTTGAACAACTTGCTTTATGGCAGAATTTTATACTGCTTATATCTTCACTTTTATAGCATATTGCTAAGTCTATATGTTTATTTAGTTTTTGGTGAAAAATACAACCCCCAAGGATAACTTTAATGATGTACTTTTTGATCTTCATTGTGACAAAAAGCATGGGCACCTATGCATTCCACCACCTCCTTCATCAGCACCACAGCCGCCACCAGGACAACTACTGCTTCCTCAGCCTATTTTGTTTCCTATGTATAGATGGTTAGAAAAAGAATTGAGTAATTTAGTGAAGCTAAGTTATTAGTACATTTGCTGAGGTAATACTTTGCATTTCCATTAATATGCATACTTGTACCAAAAGCAAACTATAAGGGTTATAGTGATGACATGCTGGATGAGAAAAAAACAGAGGATTAAAATTCCACTTTCACAACTAATTAGCAATGTGGAGTTGAGTAAATTAACCTCTCTAAGTCTCAGTTTCTACATCTACTAAATCTAAACAAACTCAAAACAGTGACTATTTCATTAGACTAGATATTTTGATTAAATGGCAAATATATAATAAACAATCAACAGATAGTAGCTATTCTGTGTTAGAATACAAGCAATTCATTTTACTTTATCACTGTACTCATATTTCCCTTTCTCCTATTTTTCCTTTAGCCTCTTAATCCTATTCCTTATGTGTGTAAAATCAAATCCTTTGTTGAAGAAAACCACATATTAAAGGAAAATAAACATATACATACACACAAATAAATAATATTTTTTCAAAAGAAAAATATTTGTCCTCAAAGAAAAAAGCTATAAAGTATTAATCATGTGAAATGCATGTGTGGTGGAAATGGATCATTTAGCACTTTGTAACTTGAATATACAGTAGTATTCTCAGGAGAGAGTCAAAAAGGTTGTGTCAGCATCCTAATGAAACATATTCAGGCACCTTTGCCTTCAAACTTCTTTTCCCAGCCAAGATGACAAATGTGGGTTAAACATTTCCTCTCTAACTGACTCATTTGGCAGAAAAAGAAATCCAGATGCCAAGAGGAATAGAAAAAAAAAATGGTGGGGATAGAGGCACAGGAAGGAGGGGGAGGAAGGAGAAGCATGTCATATTTCATCAAGCTATAAAAAAACCAATGCAGAAGATTAAAAGAAGGATACATTGACCCTCACAGGTAAAAACCAGGTTCTGGAAATATAAAAATTTTTAATGTTAACTTCACACCAAAAAGTATTAATAACTAAAGTGCTTTTTACAGAATCACTATACTATAATTCAGTTATTTACAGGATAATAACAAAAATATATATGAACTTATACAGGAAAGCCAAGGATCAAACCTCTAGAGCATTCACGCTCATATACACTAACAGACCCAAAGTCATACTTTAATTGAACTACTATGAAAAATAATCTGAGCAATTGCTTTATAATTTAATTATAGGAAACACCTAGGATATTCTACTCTGTTTCTAAGCATTTAACAATTTTTAACTAATTTGTTGCTTAATAATTGCTAAAGATTATTATGTTAATCTTCCACCATCACATCCAAATTTTTATAAAATAAACAGGTGTGAAATCTCAGCTGACTTTAAAAAAAAAGTACAAATACTAAAACATCATATTGTGTTAGTTATAGCTGCCCTAGGCAAAACAGTTTCACTTCCACTGTTCCTTCTTTCCTGCCCTTTTGCCTTATATTTTTCTGATATTCATGTTTTGAAGATAAAATAAGATAAAGTTAAATGACATATGTAATGTCCTCAATAAATAATAGCTTCTTATTACCATTGATATGGGCACCATCATTATTGCTGCATTTATTTTCTTTTGCCATTACCCAATCTTTTTTTATTTTTTTAATTATTTACTTTTTATTATTATACTTTAAGTTCTGGGGTATATGTGCAGAACATACAGGTTTGTTACATAGGTATACATGTGCCATGGTGGTTTACTACATCTATCACCACTCCTAATGTTATCCCTCCCCAATCCCCCAACCTCTTGCTATTCCTCCCTAACCCCCCTACCCCCTGACAGGCCACTGTGTGTGATGTTCCCCTCCCTATGTCCATGTGTTCTCATTGTTCAACACCCTCTTAAGAGTGAGAACATGTGGTGTTTGGTTTTCTGTTCTTATGTCAGTTTGCTGAGAATGATGGTTTCCAGCTTTATCCATGTTCCTGAAAAGGACATGAACTCATCCATTTTTATAGCTGTGTAGTATTCATGGTGTATATGTGCCACATTTTCTTTATCCATTCTATCACTGATGGGCATTTGGGTTGGTTCCAAGTCTTTGCTATTGTAAACAGTGCTGCAATAAACATACGTGTGCATGTATCTTTATAACAGAACGATTTATAACCCTTTGGGTATATACCCAGTGATGGATTGCTGGGTCAAATGGTATTTCTATTTCTAAATCCTTGAGGAATCACCGCACTGTCTTCCACAATGGTTGAACTAATTTACACTCCCACCAACAGTGTAAAAACATTCCTATTTCTCCACATACTCTCCAGCATCTGTTGTCTCCTTATTTTTTAATAATCACCATTCTAACTGGCATGAGATGGTATCTCAATGTGGTTTTGATTTGCATTTCTTTAATGACCAGTGATGATGAGCTTTTTTTCATATGTTTGTTGGCTGCATAAATGCCATTACTCACTCTCGAAGGTGGCTACCATGGGTATACCTTCCCAAAGCATATGTGTAGTACTAAAGGCAAGATTTTGGATACATACAGACAAAAAAACAATTTAGTAGTAACATATTTATATTAAAGTATATTTAAAATTTTATAACTAGCACATCAACCTAGTGATTTAACAGATATTATCATCAAATTTAATTAAATTTAAAATCATGGTATATTTTCAGAAGTATAACAGTGCAGGTAGTATGTGAATAGCATAATCATGAGGATGGTATGTAAATAACTACAGTTTGGAAAACAATGAAATAAAGCATAAACAACTGCTTTTACAACATAAGGAGTGGGGGAATTAGAGTCACATTTTGAAAGAAGCAAATCTTTCACCTGCTAGATTATAAATTTCTTGAGGACACATAGTCTTCATAAGAAAAAAAAACATATAATGAATGACAGAGAATGTGAAAAAGCCTTAAGTTATACTTCATACCTTATTCAACATCATGTTTCTTAGTAGAGAAAAACCTATGAGTATGAGACAGTCTTACCAGTGACTAAAATCCATGGAAAGAAAAAACTTCCAAATTACTAATAAAAGTGGAAAAATTTTAGCCAATCATCCTTCACAGCATTAGAAAAATCTAAGCACATAGTAGCACTCAATAAGTTTTTGCTAAATAAACAATTGATATAGCTATTATAACTACAGATAACCTAAAGCATCAAAACCAAATAAAATACACACCTGATAGCACCTTAAAATTTGGGGGATCAGGAGGGAAGATGCTAAAAATAAAAACAGATGGAATTACAATTACTGCATAAACAGTGTTACAATGACAGCTATTAATAGGATTATCTATTGTAAATAGATTCTCCAAACATGTATATATTTCATAGTCATGAAAACTTATCATTCAGTCATATATATTATGGATATAATTGATTAGAAGGGTTTAAGTATAGCCATTCTTATATGCTTGTGTGACAAGAGCCAGAATTTAAGAAACTTTGCAGAAACGTAAGGTATTTTTAAGAAGTAAATTCAGTGATATCGGTTTTGCTTTCTTTAATGGAATAATGCCAAGGTCAACATTATGGACAATTTTTAAAATCTTACTGTTGGGTCTGAGTACTTGTGAAACAATACTCTGAAGACACCCAAAGACAGCATGAATGGACTGGAGCTTCCATTGTGCCACTGTGGTGACCATGGGGCAAGGTGGAATCTGAATACTTCAGGGAGGGTGGGATTTATTCTTCATTCACAACCAGACAGATTAACCAGTCCTCATGCATTTATTAATTTTATCTGTTGCAATGCATAAATACATTTCTATGCCATCCTCTTTTAAAGAGCATTTTTCACTTTCTGCTTTTTAAAGACAGACATAAGAAGGATTTGGATTACTGAGCTTTATGAATTGTAATATTTTTCACTGAGTATTATAATTGTTTGTTCATAGACCCCTGAAGGCAGAAAATGTCTAGTTGATTCTTATATTTCTAGTGCCCAGTGCCTGAAGCATGGTCAGTAAGTATTTGTTGAGTTAGTTAATAAATATATGCATAAATGTTTCAGCCCCTAGACAGCTGGAAGAAAGGGTTTGGGAAAGAAAATAGGAAAGGGAACTTCTGAAGCCCAAATTCACCTTATTTATTTCTTGGCCTCTTGTGCCTACCAGGCCCAGCAATGAATGAGTTAGCAGTGATCTCACCCGTACAACCTGCTGGGCTAGTCCTTCAGCAAGAGGGGTAAGTCTGTCAACTCATGTAAAACATACTCAACTTGACTAACATATTCCCAGAACAGTGTGACTGCTCTCACCATCCAAATCTGCCCTGGTAAGCTAGATCTAATTATCCACCATGGAATTTGGCCAATTATACTGAGATTATAGTATATTGAGAAATATGAACTTTAGCTACCCATAAATAAAAGAACAGGAATCAAAGCCACTCCCTATTGCTTCTGGTGATTTCTGAACTTCTTTTCTCAAAACAGACAACAGTTGCTTGGGAGTCTGTGAGTTTCCTTCTCAAGTAGGTGAAAACATACATCAAACTGCTTTAGTTTCTTATGTAAAGTATCTTCAAATGTAAAGAAGATCCAGTCTGTAGTGTTTTTTTCAGAAAGATTTCAACTGAAGTTCAAAGCCCTGAGAAAGCGTTTTCACCCTTCAGCAGTAGATTAAGAGAGCTTAACTCTTTCCATTTACAATAGAAGGTCATCATGCACACTATCGCATGTTTATGCAGTAGAACTAGACAAAGTTTAATGTTCCCTTTTATATGCTTTCCTGGTAAACAAAAATCGTCTCAGGGTTACCATGCATGTGTAATATTGTCAGGAAACTTTCTGGGTACAGTGGGGCAAAGTCCTCTCTGTAAATAAGCTAGAGTTGACTGGAGTTTTCACTTTGAAAAATAGCTCACAGTAGGATCTCAAAAGCTAGACACTTTCCACAGTGCATTTCATTTTTGTTCATTGCTGTTATACCCAACTCTTCAGGATTACACCTACTAAAGAGGTTCAGGTGCATCTGTAGTATTTGCTCTTCTCACTGCTTCAGATTGTCTATTTTTTTTCTCTATTTTCTTTTTATCCCAAATACTTCTCTGTTGCATTAAAGGACACCACTTTGCAACACACCTTCTCTTTATCCTAGTTTTATCTCTTATACCATCAACCTTTCTGGTACATTCGTTTTCCGTTTTCATGGAATTTTTTACTTTTGCAGACAGTTGTTTAGTGAGAGAGAGGGAGTGGTATGAAACCACAGAAGTGACTAAGAAAAGTCAGAGAAACCAAATCTGATTCTACAGGCAGTGAGAATAGTATAAAGAACTGAGAAAGTACTGTCTTGAAATGAGAAAGCCGAGAGATACATTCTCACACCAAAGCTTACTGTGTGGCCTGGGAAGTCAGGGAACCTCCTGAAATTTCAGTTTCCTCATTTATATAATTAAGATGCTAATACTGACTCTGTCTGACAGAAATGTCAATAAGATGAAATCAGACTGCATGACAGTTTTATGTTGCATTAATGTGCAAACTGTGCATCTCTGTATTCATGTGAGTGTGGCTGTTCATGATATTAGACACCTAGCTGCAAAGGAGGCATTCATGCACACACACAGTCTCCAGCCTTCTGTTTACCTTCTATTTACTCTTGCCTAAACTGGCCTAACTCAGGAATATCAAAGAGTTCATTCCTCAAAAGACAGGAAATCCATATATATGCATAATCTGACCATCTCTAGTGCACCCTGCACAGTTACTTGGCTTCATAAAACTTCTCTCAGCCTGCTTCATAGACAGTCTGATATTGGTATGATCTCCTTCTCAACCTACCACCTACATCTCCACTACAGTCTGGTTGTTTGTGAACATCTGGATTGAACTAGAATTGAATACAGTGATGATGTTTTGCAGTCAAACTGACTTGTGCTCAAACACTGGCACTATAATGAAATAGCCATGACACCTCGAACTTGTCATTTAATTTCTGTGAGGCTCCATTTCCTAATTTGTATAGAGATGGCACTAATAACACCAAAGAATGCTGATAAGGAATAAACAAGATAATACATGATCATAGAATCTTGCTTGATCAACAGTTAGAGTGGGGGTTGGTCTTCTAGGACTGCTGTACAAAGTGCCACAAACTTAGTGGCCTAAAAAGAGAAACCGTCTCACAGCTCTGGAAGCTAGACATCTATGATTAGGAGTTGGCAGGCCCATCCTCTCCCTCAAGGCTACAGGGAAGAATTTATTCAAGGTCTCTTCCCTAGCTTCTGTTAATTTTGTGACTTGTAGCAGCATAACTCCAGTCTTCAGACAGCATTCTCCCAGTGCATGTCTCGATGGCCAAAATTCTCCTTTTTATAAGGAAACCATGATTAGGAGCTTCTCCTATGTTAGTAAGATCTCATCCTAACTAATTATATCTACAATGACCCTGTTGCCAAATAAGGTCACATTCTGAAGCACTAGGAGTTAGGACTTCAATACTGGAATTCGGGGAGAAACACAATTCAGCCCATAACAAATGGAGTGAAAAAATGTTGAAGGCCTGAAGATTTGGCAAAGTTTATTTGAGAGCTAAGAGGTCAGAAAAACCACGCAGTGTGCCATAGCTAATTGCTCAGCCACTTCTTCTTACTATAATCTGTTTTTTTAAGAGACTATATAAGTTAACCAAATATCTACTATAAGCTGCCATTCTACTTTGATTGTGGTGATCTGTATTTTCTCATTCTAAAAGTGGAGAAAATAATTCTGGCCTCCACCTCCTAGATGCTTACAATCAAAATATTACAACACTGCTATCCACATAGATGTTAAAACACAGAGTAAACAGATGTTGCACAATTAAGATACAGCTAAAATTGTGACTATTTATATATGGAGAGTTGACTCTTATTGCCACAGGGAGGTGAAGGACAAAGGCTAAAAGAAAAATGATACCAGTTTCATAAAGACAGGACTACTGAGGGATTTGAGGTGGTCCTTGCAGGGACAGAACTTGGGAAACTCACAGGAGATTAAACCACTAAGATGAGATGGCTTCCTCTGAGTGAGATATTCATGATTCTAGTTCCAGTGAGCAACAAAGTCTAAAGCCTTGGATCCCTTTTTAATGATTCTTGGCCTTAACAAATTAGATGTGGTTTTTAGTTTTTGTCATTTTAAATATTTTTAAGGTACTGCTCCTTAGAATTATTTAGTAAATAGATTTCTAAATCCCTAAACCCATTTTCTAAAATTCTAAACCCATTAAAGATAAATATTGACAAGGAAAAAATTTCCATGTCCTAATTGAAAATGTTCTCACATAAAGGAATATTAGCATCTCTTCTAGACTAAGTTCCACTCCAAAATAATCAAGTCAACAAGGAAATTACTATTTCTTGAAAACTTACTATGCATACACTATACCAGATATTGCTTGTAGTACAAAAGGAGATAAATAATTGTTTTTCAAATTTAATTGAAACAAAGGAATATGTATGCATACTTTGTCTTTACCAAATGATGATTTTTTTTCTAGAAATAATCTCTGTCATTAAAAATGTATCAGCATTGTTGGTCTCTATCACTAACCTATTATCTTATGAGTTCCTTGACAGAAGAAATTATATCTTGTCCATTTCCAACTTGTTTCTTAAACATTAAAAAAGAAAAAAAATACAGAATTAGTACAAAAGAATAAAGTTTTATCATAGCGTAAGAGCTAAAAATAATATCCATCCTAAGTATGGACATTTAGAATTGTTCAGATATTTGTGTTATACTCTCTTAAAAGATTTTTTAAAGAGGCAGCTGAGCAATTAAAGTAAGATACAGTTTGTGGTTTCTTTGAGCTCATAAATCTTGAACAGATTTATCAAATATGCACTGGCAAAATAGTTAAGCCTGGCAGATAATTATTTTTGAATAATTAAGTGAGTAAATAAATAAATTAGTGAATTATACTAAAGAAACTGGAGAACAGTTGAATTTCAGCTCTCTCCTCTAGGTGGCAAACTCATACCTCCTACAGTGATTCACATTTCCTGTCTCCTCTCAAACTGACATATGAAAATTGCACTGAAAAAGTACATAGTTTTATTTCTGTTGTAGTGTTCAAATAAGCAAATATTAAAGTTTTTTCTCCCAAAAGTGCTTCCTTTAGCCTTGCATCTTTAAGCTCCTTGTCAAGAACATTGTTTATAGAAAGCCATTATGAAATATGATTGTGTAAGTACTATAAAGAAATAGAATTGTGCAAGAGACCTTTCAA